GAGATAAGAAGGAAATTAATGTTTGAGCACCTACTATGTGCTGGGTGTGTATGCATACTTTGAACAGATGATTCTAGAGGCAAGAGTATTATTGAAAGGTCACTGGAAGTTGGGAAGACAGCAATGAATGGGTTGTTACTCTGTGAGGAAAAACAAATGACAAGTTTAGACTCTGTACTAAGTATTTACTAAACAGCAGGTGTCTGGCTCGAAGAATTTCTAACTAATCACATACAACTAAGCCATTTCTTGTCCTAATTTGGTGGAACCAAAATGAAACCCCAAACATGTAGTTACCAGGACAGACCTATTAACGCTACATATGCTGGAAATATGTGGAGACAGATAAACAGACACTATTGTAAGTTTTAAGTTTTGTGTGTTTCTAACCAAAGACCGATCTTTGGAAGAACATAGTAATGAATACCAAGCACACCTTGTTTGTATCAATTGAGATGTTGTCAATTACCAATTAAGTGGTTTTAAACCCTTATTTAATTTTAAGAAGAGGAGCAATATACATTACAATACTTGGGTACACTTTATTTTTATATGGGTTAACATTCTTCTATATTTCATTTCATTCATTTTTTTTGAAAAACTGAAAACAAAGGGAAATTGAGGGTAATTTGAAGGTTATTTCCAACCAATATCTGAGTCTTGCAGTATCTCATTATACAGCCCTTTCTTCCCATTATTTTTTTTTGCAAATAAGTCGTTTGACCCAAATCCAGCATAAATAGCTTTTTACCAATTCCTAACTTAAGACAACTAACATTTACAATCATGTGGCAGTATAAATTTTAAAATTACAGTTCATACACCTTGACAATCAAGATAGTCTAAAGTACAAAAAGTAAATTGTCCTTTAGCTGAATTACCTTTTTGTAATAGGCTTGCTAGTTAATCCACAAAAAAAAAAAAAAAAATACAAGTTTCAGGTGTTCTTTGAATACCTTTTGTAGATGTCATATGCTAGTAAACAACAAATGCAGGTTCCTAAGATTTTTTTTTTCCCCCAAGTCTATTCATGACATTCAACAGAGCTCTTTGTATGAAAATGTTGTTTTAAAAAAACAAAAACTTCGAGGGGATTTATTGACTTCTGAATGGGTGTGTTATTTCCCTTTGTTTCAAGAGATGAGGCACAAACTTCTGGATTTAAGCTCTGTAAGGCATAGTACAAACCTCCAATTTACAAATGAGGAATTCTCTGTGGGTTTGGAACTGCCATGTCACGCAAAAAAAGGGAAAAATTATCTGTAAACTGGTACACTGCAATGTGGTGAGTCATGAAATGGCTGCTTGCCTTGGTATGCTGAAGAAAGGTTTTTGTGGTTTGTGTTTTTGTTTTTGAATAAGACATGCCCAAGTCACCAAAAACTGGCCACAGGCCTCCATTACCTGGAGCATCAATGGCAGGAGACAAGTGGCACACGCTTCTAACGCTTGCAATCACAATATAATAGAAAGCATGAGTAAACTTTGTTTTTTTTTTTTATACAAAACTGAAAAGAAGCCCTTCCCACCCCTAGCCCCTTCAATAAAACCCCAAAGAAACAGAAAAAAAAATCCTTTAGCTTCGATTGACTAGTGTGGATACAATTAGGTTTCCATGCATCACTGCAGCGAGGGTGATCAATTTCTTCCTTTCTCAAGAGAAAGGGATCTTGTCATGCACCCTCTGGCAAACAGCGAAGCCACCAACCTCCATTCTGCATAGCAATTCCATTCCAATTTCATAAAGACAAATAGAACAATCTTTCCCTGTGTGCTCAACTTCTTCGAGCTTTGAGATCATGTTTAATTGACTACATCTACTATAGCTCTATTAAATAGAATATCTTGATTCCCTAAAACTGTAACACTTAGGATCTTGTGATGAGGTTTTCTCTATACACACTGTAGGCCTTCAAATGTTATTGTTGACTTTTTTCTTCTTTCTTTTCTTTTTTACTTTTTTCTTTTTTTTCTTTTTCCTTTTTTCTTTTTTTTCTTTTTCTTTTTTTTTTCGTTT